TTGAGAATACCAATCATTTGAGTCTTTGTCAATTCGAACTGCTTATTTGACGTAGCGGAAGCTTATAATAAAGATGAACAAATATCACAAAATGAAAAAACTCACGAAAAAGTTTTATTTCTGTTAATCAATGTGGCCACAAAAAGCTTACAATGCTTTATATAGTGAAAACCCTAGAAAAATACAGAAAAATTAAAAAATAATAAAAAATATATTTTTTAAAAAAAAATAAAAAAAAATCAAGATAATGACTAAAATTGGGTCTTAATCTTAAGGACTATTCTCCAACAAACGGAATTAAAAAAGAAAAAAAGACTTTATTTGATTGAGATATAACCAAAACAAAAATTACCAAAAATGAAAAAGATGCATAAACAAAGGAATTTGTCCGAAATTGGCCTCCTGAGTCTTGTTAATTGACTCGTTTTCAATCAAATTTGACTAAAATTTCGTAAAAAACGAACAACCCAAAATTTCTCCAAAACTCGGAAGTTGCCTATTTTGTTTGCACTAGCCTCACTTTTCCATTAAGTCTAATTCCTTATGCACCACATCATTATTTGAGTTTAATAAGCTATGATATCATATTAAGACTAGATGTTCTAATTTAGAAGATTAATCATTTTAAGACGAGTGATACAAGCTCTTATATATTAACTAATATTTAATATCTAATCAATGTGAAATACATCCTTTAAAATTGTGAAGAGTTACATGGAAGAAGATTCAATACATATCAATTGACTCATGCAAACATTTTTTACTTTCCCATCCTTAGAAAATCACACACCATAGATGCAATGTATCTTGAGCCATTGACAATAAGGAATTAGCTAGTTTTGGGATTTTTTTTCAAAATTAGAATTAGAAGGTATAAGTTTAGACATGACCTTACCATTTATCAAAATCGAAACATAACAATACACAGTCTATGTTAGTTTCATTTTTCTTACTAAAAAGTTGCTTTCAAGTATGGATGATGGATAAGTGTATAATACTTGTGAATCCTACAAAATGTGTTGTTAAATTTATAATTTGACTTTAAAAAAAAAGTAATAAAAAAATGAAACAAAAATGGAGCCATCATTTTTCAAGTTTCTTGGTTTGTTGCAAAAAACATATATACTTTGCATATTTTACATCGTTTATTTGCATTCTTATATTCTCCTCCTTTAGCAATGTTCATTGGGTGTTGTTAAAAGTTCATATATTTCATAGCTTTAACAATAGGCAATTACATATGGCAACATATTCCGACCGTTACAAAAATCCAAGTTTCTTGTAGTACATAGACTTACTTAGCTATCGAATATGTGGAAGTAATTTACTATGCAACCCACTTTAATTTGATGTGTGAATGTGGTTTAAAATTTAATTTTAATATTTTAAACAGCACTAAAAAAAAATTAAACTTCAATCAAGAAAAATCCAAGTATTTTTTCCTTTATTTTGGAATTCATACCAATAAAAAATGATTAATTTTGAATTATTGTTCTTGACCTCGTAAATGTATAGATCATGCATTATCTACAGTGGTAATCAGGGACCGACCTAACGTATAAGTTAGGTATTCTATTTTCTTTACCTTTGTGAATGTCATTTCTATGTCAGGAAATAACATGCATGTGACAAGTAATACTATAGCTAGAAAATTGTTGACAAAAATTAATTATTTTTGGCTATTTATCATTTTCATCAGTGCTAGTCTATGCTCTAGTTTGATACGAAGGACATAAAAAATTGGTCTGGTTATGTAGTTCTTGAATTTGTGAAAAAGTGAGGAGAGAGAGAGATTGGTTTAAAATTTCAAGAACACATTCAAAGTATGGGAAATATTTGAGATGCCAGCAATTATATAGGAATGAGAATGGATGGGTTTTTTCTAACTATAAAGGAATGTGAATAATTTTGAGCTTTGTTTTCCAGCAATATAAAATATTCTTGAAATTTTTCTATGCTATTTTAGGCTCGATGCATGCATTTTCGTGTCGACTATCTTTAGATTTTACTCTTTTCCATATATGATCAATGAACAGGTGGGGAAAAAATTAGGAATAAAGTAATGCCTTATGTGTTCCATTTACTCAAAAGTCGATGCCTCCAATGTGACTTATAGGGGAAAACATACAAAGAAAAAGATACTCAAATAATTAACATAAAGATTTGCAGTATTTTCTTCAATAACTGTTCAAATTCTAAAGCTAAAATCTACATTTCGTACTTGGTCTAGCTTGTTACATGGGTCGTGAGTGGGAGATTAGTTTCCGTCTGGGTATACAAAGATAAATGCATACTAGTGGGAACATACAGAATTTCCTTCACAGGCCACAAGCCATATATATACACACCAGGCTCAAGCATGAATAATAATTTTTAAATTAATTACTGGATAAAGTTTATATTATTGGTTAATATGGTGTGAAATTTTTATTTCGTATAATTTTGATAATAAGTAATTCAAATTTGTGAGAATTATGGCACTGTTTTACTGGATTTTCCAATAGAGATTTGTCTCCCACCATTAGGACCTAATACTAGAACAAAAAGAATTGCCAATAATTGTTAAAGGGCAAAATATATAACGTGTATAAGGTATAGAGTTACTCATCTAAACAAATTAATATTTTAAGATAAAATTACAAGTCTTAATACCATAATTCACTTAGAATAATTCTACTCCTACAAAGTTGGTGTACAAAAGTGGAGTATCAAAATGTGTTCGCAAAATCTGAACCCTTGATTTCAAATGATTTGAAAATCTATTTTTGAAATAATTGGTATAGATTTGATTTTGTAACTTAACTTTGTAAACCCCATTTGTCATTGTAGCATAGCCCATTCACTTATATGTTTTAGGAAAATTTACGGTTGGGCACCTCCAACCTTGCACATGGTATATAATGGATATCAAGCAACCTTTGAAAATGAGATTCTCAGTCCTTGACCTATTTAAATATGTTAATATGAATTTTCATGTGACTAGATTCATCGATGTGGACATTAAAGTTGCAAGCAAGTTCAATTGAATTAAGGGTTCATTTGATTGCAAAGATGGAATTTGAGTGGAAAGAAAACGAATTTCAGGAAATTAAATTGCCTAAAAATTATTTTCCTAGAAATTGTAAATTATTGTGTTTAATTGATATAATTTTCCACGTGAAAAATGTTGAAATAAAAGTATTTTTTAGTGTTCGTTTGACTTTGTTTTACATGATTAGAGGGATAAAATTTACTGGTATTGAGAATGAAATTTGTTTCCATTGCTTAAAAAAAAT